GGTCACTATGAGTCACAGATGACAGCACATAACAACATCTAAATTTTCAGAAAAATGAGACTTTACCTCTTTCCAAATTAACTTTTTGTAAGTCTTATTTATTGTTTCCTCTCCCCTCACTTATTCAGCAATTCATACATTTTTGTTCTGTACCCACAATACAACCTCAGTCTTCTCTCTTCCATGTAATCTGATTTCCATTCATCCTTTTCTGCCTCTCTGTGTCCTCCCTTGCTTTTGTGATATTGTACTGACCATCCCCTTATTGGTGAGCACATCTAGGACAGCATCTTTTAGTTGAAATATGTCATCAATTCCTGGGGCCTTATTTTTTGCCAATTCCTTCAAAACAGCTTGAACTTCTTCCTTCATCACCATAAGTTCTTCCTCATAAGTTGTATCATGAAATTCTGCTGTGTCTGCCAATTCCTTTTGGTGCAGTGACTCTGTATATTCTTTCCACCTTCTTTTAATACTTCCTGGATCATTTATTATTTTGCCCAAAGCATCCTTAAGTATAGCAACTTGAGGTTTAAATTTGTTTTTAATTTCCTTGAGCTTAAGAAATGCGGAGAGAGTTCAGCCCTTTTGATTTTCTGACTCCGTCTCCTTGCACATTTCATTGTAATATTTTACTTTGTCTTCCCATGCTACCTTTTGAAATCTTCTGTTCAGCTCTTTAATGTCTTGAATTCTTCCCTCTGCTTTGGCTTTGTGGCGTTCCAGTGCAATATACAGAATCTCTTCTGATATCCACTTTGGTCTTTTTTCCTCCTCTGTCTTTGTAATGACCTTTTGCACTCTTCCTGGATGATACTTTTGATACCCTCCCACAACTCATCTGGTCTTCACTCATTCATGTTCAAGGCCTCAAACCTGTTCCTGAGATAGTTTTGAAATTCAGGTGGGTTAGACTCAAGGTCATATTTTGGTTCCCATGGATTTAATTTAATTTTCCTTAGCTTCAGCTTGAACTTGCATATGAGTAGTTGGTGGTCTTTTCCACAATCAGCACCTGGCCTAGTTTTCACAGCTGATACTGAGATTCTTCAGCGGTTCTTCCCACAGATGTAATCAATCTGATTCCTATGCATACCATGTGTATAGTCTGCATTTATGTTTCTTATAAAATGTATTTGCAATGAATAAGTCATTGTGCAAAATTCAATCATTCTATCTCCAGCTTCATTTCTGTCCCCGAGTCCATGTTTTCCAACTACTGATCCTTCTTCCCTGTTCCCAATTTTAGCATTCCAGTCACTCATTATTATTGATGCATCTTGATTGCATGTTTGATCGATTTCTAACTATAAAAGTTGGTAGAAGTCTTCCATTTTCTCTTCTTTGGCTCTGGTTTTTGGTCATATATCTGAATGATAGTGGTATTCTTCCTTGTATGAGTATGGATATTATTCTGTCACTCATGATATTGTATTTCAAGACAGATCTAGAAATTACTTTTTAAACTATGAAAGCAACCCCATTTTTCCTCACCTTTTCATATCCGGAGTAATAGATCATATGACCATCTGACTCAAAATGCCCCATGCCAGTCCATCTCATCTCCGCAATACCTAGTATGTTAATATTTATGCGCTCCATTTCTTCCTTAACAATAGCTAATTTTCCTACATTCATGGTTCTCACATTCCATGTTCCAGTCACTAGTGTCTGCTTACAACTGTTCCTTTTCCTTTGTATTTCCATATTGGAAAGCTCCATCAAGCTGTGCCACGAAATCTGGAGGACAACCACTTGGCCAACTGACTGAAAGAGATCTATATTTGTTCCATTCCAAAGAAAAGTGACCCAACAGAGTGTGGAAATTATTGAACAATATCATTGATATCACATGCAAGCAAGATTCTGCTGAAGATTACAAAAAAAAAAAAAAAGACTGGAACAGCACATCAGCAGAGAACTGCCAGAAGTCCAGGCTGGGTTTAGAAGGGGTCATGGTACTAGGGATATTGTAGCTAAGGTTAGATGGATCTTAGCTGAAAGGAGGGAATACCAGAGGAATCTGTTTCATTGATTATGCAAAGGTAGTTGACTGTGTAGATCATAACAAACTGTGACTCACTCTGAGAAGAATAGGAACCTCAGAACATTTGGTTATGTGAAACCTATACTTGGACCAAAAGGCAGTAGTTAGAGCAAGGAAACACTGTTTAGTTCAAAATCGGGAAGGGTATATGCCAGGGATATGTCCTATCTTAATACCTTTTCAAGCTGTATGCAGAACAGATTATCCGGGAGGCTGAGCTCTATGAGGAGAAGTGTGGCATCAGGATTGGTGGAAGATTCATTAACAATCTGTGTTATGCAGATGACAAAACCCTGCTTGCTGAAACTGAAGAGGACCTCAGGTGTTTGCTGCAGAAGGTCAAGGACTGCAGCCTTCAATATGAATTGAGGCTCAATATCAAGAAGACGAAGATTCTCACCACTGGGTCGATTGGCAACATCAGGATGGATGGTGAAGAGATTGAGATGGTACACAGCTTTTAGTTTACTTGGCTCCACAGTCAACACTCTTGGCACCAGCAGCCAGAAAATTAAAAGACATTTTGTGATGGGAAAGTCTGCTGTTAGGGACCTCTCCAAAGTATTGAAGAGCAATGGTGTCACTCTGGAAACTGAGGTGCACCTGAATACAGACCATGGTTTTTGCCATTACTTGCTATGTATCAGAGAGCTGGACAATGACTAGGGATGATAGAAGAAGAATTGAAGCCTTTGAGCTGTGGTGCTGGAAAAGAGTATTGACTATACCATGGACTGCTAAGAAAACAAACAGGTTCAACCTGGAGAGGGTTAAACCAGGCTGCTCCTTGGAGTCAACAATTCTGAAGCTTCGTCTGACGTAATTTGGACATGTTGCAAGGAGGGATCAGTCAGCGCAGGAGAGGAAGACCCTCTATGAGGTGGATTGATTCAGGGACTGGAGTAATTTGGGTGGGTGTGTCGGCAACAGTGAGACTGGCATAGGACAGAGCAGGGTGTAGGGCTGTTGTATATAAGGTTGCTGTAAGTTGCAGGTGACTTGACAGCACATAACAACAACATAACATTACCTTATTGAATATTGCCTTTTCCTTCCCCATTTTAATATTTGTCTGTTACCTATTTGGTCAAGCCCCTTGTGGTCTAGTGGCCAGGAGCTATACTGCTAACCCAAAGACACGTAGTTCAAATCCACCAGCTGCTCTGAAAGAGAAAAATGTGCAGTCTCCTCACATTGATTTACATCCTCTAACAACCCACTGGGGGGTCAGCACAGAAAAAAATATGAAAGAAACTACAAGATAAGAAAGCAAAAATAGGGGAGCTCTGGTGGCCTAGTGGCAAGAAGCTGCACTGCAATCCCAGAGGCCCATGGTTCGAATCCACCAGATGCTCTGCCGGGAAAGGAGGGACAATCTCCTCCTGTACCAGTCAGATCTGATTTGACGGTACACAGACACACAAAAATAATAATAAAATAAAATAAAAAAAAGAAAGCAAAAATAAGAAAGTCAAATATATATACTTAATGAAGGTCTTAGAGAATTGATTAAAAATGCAGTGCATTGGAGTTTAAAATTTTATGTAACTGCTAAAAGACAATCCAGATATAGTAAGCACATGACCAACAAAGGCAACATATGAGAGAAATTGTAGAACAAAAACAAAAAGATCAGAAATACAATCAGAAAACGCCTACAAGAAACTTCTCAACAGTAATAACGAAAAGTTTTACTAATTTTGCTGATAATATTAACATGTAGGAAAGTGAACAGTAAAAAATTCATTAGCAAGTTTAGTAATAATTACTTAGATTCCTAGTATAAGTATGGTTGATCACAGCATATACAAAACTCTTGACAATGTTTACATAGTTTTATAAAAAAAATCTTTTTCTGTGAGACCCTCAATAAATACATGAAATAAAAGACAACAAAAATTACCTAAAATTAGGCACACCCATGTTTATCACAGCTTTGTTCACAACAGCAAAGAGTTGGAAACAACCTAACAAACGAATGGGTAGAGAAACTGTGGTATATTCACACAATGGAATACTATACTACATTGAAAAACAAGGAACTTATGAACTATTATACAAAATGGGTGACCCTGGAGGACATTATGCTGAGTGAAATATCTCTGTCACAAAAGGAGAAGTACTGCATAGTGCTGCTGTTGTAAAATGGTACTGACATCGGGGCTAGGGGGAGAAAGATGGGATAAATTATTTATACTGCATTGAAACAGATGAGGGAGAGAACTGTTTAAAAAGGATATGTAATAAGGTATTATTGTCATGACAAGAGTCCAGAACAAAGGCTGCATAGTGGAGTGAACTTGGGGCAAGAGCTTATATAACAATGAAAGAATTTTTCTTTTACTTTTCAAAGAGAAGAGCGAATTAGCAGGGAGGGACGGCAGGAAGAAAAGTGCAACAATGAATGAATGGAAATCCGAAGTCTCTGTAAACTTTCATTAATATTAATAA